TTTTGACTAGTGTACAGTTTGACTTATTATAATAAAACCGTTTATAATTTCTTCTGTAGTTTTATTGTTGGCTAGCCCTTGTATCCTAAAATTTATAAACTATGTCTCGTGTAGTTGAAGGTAATCATCCAGCTTTGACACCAGTGAGTTAATATATTCTTTAAAGTCTGTGGGTTTTTTTTTTATTAAAAGAGTATTTACTATCTATACAAATGGTAATATAATCAACATACTGGGTGAATTAATTTAACTACAGTTCATGTGACTTGCCTTTACATAAAATCATATTGCAAGGAATGGGCTTATCATTGATCCTTGAGGAAAATCCTAATACTTTAACGTTTCTGTTACTAGTTGTACACAAAACTTAAAACAAAGTGTGGACACATAAAATATTGCTGTAATTCATTTATCAAATTCGCACGTCATTCGTTGTAAGTTTTCTATGTTTAAGCATAAAGCAGGTGCAAATATATCATTATTGAAATTAATTATAATTTTTATTTAATTGTATGATGGTGAACTCTGGGGGTATATTTTATATTGCACAACATAATAAGTTATTTAGAATATTATTATTTTCAAAACAAATACTAGTCTTTTATCCATAGTTATTTCTAAACATTTTCGAAAATTTTGAAATTACTTGGAATTTAAAAAGCCTAGTGTTCCTTGCTCGATTCATTAATAAAAAAAAGCACACAAGCTTCATCACACTCGAAATATACTATAATAATTAAACATTGAGATAAATAAGAAAGGTCAAACCTTTGCTTCCTCTCCCAATATTATTTTTTCTTGATATATGCATAGGTTGTGGACCAGAGAAAGCGAAGAACGTAGTCATTGTTTCTCACCCTGCTACTGAAAAAATGTTTGATAGAGCCAGCAAAGAAACATAACACCAACAAAAAGAAAATAATCTGTGGATCACACACGTCACGTGCCTGAGCCACATTGCACTGATCATCGGGATTTAGATTCATATGGACCTGGGAGGGTGTTCATTTGTTTGTTGTTTGAATTTCGCGAAAAGCCACTCAACGGCTAGCAGCGCTAGCCATGCATAATTTTGCAGTGATAAACTAGAGGAAAGACAGCTAGTCAACACCACCCTCCGCCAACTATTAGGCTACTCTTTTATCAACGAATAGTAGGACTGACCGTCACATCATAAAGCCCTCACGGCTGAAAGGGCGAGCATGTTCGGTGATGGGGATTTGTACCCGCAGCCCACAGATTGCGAGTCGAGCGCCCTAACCATCAGCTCATGCATTGCAAGGGAATACCAACTGAATAAATAAATTGTATATTTCCATCATAAAAGTAATGTTTCCATTAGTGATGTCCTAAATAACAATTATCTTTTACTTACACATATATAAACATATCAAAATAGAAAACAGGTTAGAAAAAACGAGAAATATAAGACATGTCGTTTGAAAGTACCTACAAACAAACATTCAACATACATAATGGGTACCTATATAGTCGCACGGTATGTTGATATAATTTTCACTGAAACGTTGTATAGTCGGTAAAAAAGATTCATTAAATGTAACAGAAAGATTCAAACGTAAACACTTTGGCAGATCTTTCTGTTAGGTTATAAATGAACTTATCTGTCATAAAATATTTCATAATGCTGTAATAATTCAATTCATGTGGGCCACTTTCTTATGCAAAAGAAATGCAAGTGAAATGCTTGGGATTTAACACTAATCGTATTCTAGATGTGAATACAGTATTTAAGTAAAATCCGGTTTAAATGTTTTTCAGACTCGCCTTTAATGTAATAGTTACTTTTCTTGAACATATTCAACAATAAACGATAAATGACACTCCTTTCTTAGTATCCATGCTTCACCACGTAAACGGTTTAAATGAGCTGAGAAAATTACTTAGCATCATATTAATTCTTTCTCGCTAGTGAACAGTCTTCCGATGGGTCAGCGGTAAGTTTATGGACCTACGACGCTAAAATCCTGGGTTCATTTTCCCGCAGTGGACACAGTAGTTTGCACTAAAAATGCAACAACGGCTAGTAAGCACCGTTTTCTTACTTCAAAATACTGAAACTGTATCAGAGAAACATTTATTAAAGGAGGTTTAAATATGTCCAGACAATGGCATGCAAATATCGAGTGTCCAGCTCTATGAAAATCATTCTAGTGGTTGTATCATCACATATTTTAAGCTAAAACTTGGTTATTGAGATTTTTGGCGTGTTTATCATAAAAATAAAATGTAATGGATATTAAAGCAAAACCAAATCCAACAGGGAATGTAGCATAATGCGTTGTTGGGAATCTTAAGACGCTTAAGTAGTAAGATAAGCATGCATATCTAACAGATTTAAAAGAGCATAATCCTACGTATGGTTGTTGTTGTTTGTAGTAAGCACAAAGCTACACAAAGGGCTATCTGTGCTCTGCCCACCACGGGTATCGAAACTCGGTTTCTAGCGTTGTAAGCCCGCAGACGTACCGCTGTGCCACTGGGGGGGCTCTATGTATGGAGTTAAAATGTTCAAAATATGAATGATAGTTTAAACGTGAAATTGCAGCTTTAAGAATAAATCCAGTTTAAAGTTAATTATTATAAAAAATAGAAAGATTTAA